CACACACACACACACACACACACACACACACACACACACACACACACACACACACACACACACACACACACACACACACACACACACACACACACGCACACACACACACAGAAATCCAAACTAACCGAAAGCATTTTAAAACCTCAGAGAAGATTCTTTTCAAGTTTGTGGTGTAGTTTCAGGGTCTGCTATCCAGTGACCACCACAAAGGATGACCTGGAAGTTGAAATGCTTGGCTTAGGAGCATATTGAGTGTGTCTGTGCCCAGCAGGCAGATTGCAGAGGGGTTTCTTAAACCCAAACAGTTTTGCATGAGAGACACATTCTTGCAGTCTTACCACTCAGCAGTGGCCAGTGGTTAGATTGGGTAGTTAATGTGTAGTCTTTGGATTAAAAGCTACTGAGTGGATGAGGCTGGTTTTCTCTATTTGTCTGTGAGTATCTATGTACCTACTTACCTACCTATTATCTATCATCATCTGTCTATCGTCTGTCTGGTCTATATTTTCTCTTCGTTTCAAAGTATTTTACAGTGAATTTACTGAGCTAATCTCAGTGGCAATCCCTCTATCTTGAGACCATTCCTCAGACTTGAAAATCACTTGCTTTTCTGAAAGGCTTTGTCTCCTTGATATCTAGCTGTACTTTCCTTGTAAGGGAAGAAGTCAAATTATTTTCACATTGCCTATGTGAAACAGATTACATATTTTATACATACTAACCTAAATACAATCTCCTTGTTAAAATATGTAATAAAGTAATACAGACAAAGCTAACACTCCTTTCGATTTCCTAGCCATTTAGATTTTTTCATCTCAGAGATGAGTGGTCCCTGGGCATGCTCGAGGTGAGCTTTGTCCTAAAGAGGACAGCCATGCACTACCACATGTTTGGTGTAGTGATCAGAGAAGTGTCCCCCTTGCATTTGCCAAATTCTCTGCTCCAGCTTCTACTTGTTTTCATGTCTAGGAACATAAAACCCATTATTTATTTCGCATGAAGTGAAAATAGTTTGGGCTATTGCATATTTTAAGGGAGCTGTGACTTGGTTGTGGAAAGAGCAACTTTCAAAAATATTTTTGAATGAAGAATACACTTTCAGATTTCTAATTACAAGGTCAAATCTATATGTTTCTATGTACAGCCAAATTTGATTTTTAATAAAAACAGGCTGAATTGAATTTTCCACAAAGTCTTTTAAAAGAATTATATATAAAAATGTATTTTTCATCAATTCCATTTATAAAGCAGACATACATTTTATACCATGAGTCCCAAATACTGACAGTTTCTATGGAAACAAAGCCTGGAATACCAGTTCATATATCTATGACTGTCAAATTGAAACTAGCATAAATGACATTTTTCAGCTTATATATTTTGAAAAGCATAATTTTCTATCAAAATATCCAGATAGAAGTTTAAAGATTTTGTTTTGCACCATTCTTCCCTAAGGGTAAGCAAGGTAAAAATATTTCTTTTTGGAAATGAGAAATGTTGAACACTGAGTCCTTACTATATGATAGATGCTGTCTTATGTGCTTTCCCATGATTTTATTTAATCTTCATAGTAACTACATGAAATGAATAATACATCTATTTCTCAGCTGTAGAAATGAAGCATCTAAGCCTCAGAGAAGAGAGATGGTTTGCTCAGATTTACTTATCTAATACAGATTAATCCAAAAGTCAAATCAGAACTCCTGCCTGGCCAACTCTGCCTTTAAAATGGTGAATTTACTTGGTTCTCTAACCCTCGTGTGGACAAATTAATTTATGACACAATGTGCAGTTCAGACTAGTCTCTGCTTTTGAGGCACTAATTGAATTTCTTGCTTCTAACTGCTACTGTGAATCATACTTGGGGCTCAAGAGAGAGTGAAACTAGTCTACCTTTCCTGGTCGCCGTGTGGAGCTAGATGCCCAAGACTCAGCATTCCATAACTTGACTGAACCCTTGTCTCTCTTGATTCTGTGTAGCCCAAAATTCCTCTGCTTGTTTATCCTTTTTTTCTATATTGTTTTGTTTTGTTTTTAGAGAGGTTTTTGCCATAGGGCACGTGCGCTCCCCAGACAAAGAGAGATAGAGAGACAGAAAGCGAGAAATCACCCCCCAGGGGAGACGGCCACACCGCAATCCCTTCTCCTCCATTCTCCTCTCGGGATCTTGGGCACGCATGCACATGCGCCTGGCGTGAGTTTTAAGCTACCGGGTCCAGGACGTGAACCATGGTTGACTACATGGGAGTCCAGCGACATAGCCATTACACTAACTGCTGGTCCCAGCTTGTTTCTCCTTTGTAAGTGTCACCTGTGGTTTTCCTGCTTATGTCACAACATAGGAATCCTGGCATAGCCTCTTCCCACAAATCTCAGCACAGAGACTCTTCCCCTAGTAGTAGGCTTTAAGATTTGGCTTTCAGGGACCAGCAGGTAGTATAGTGATTAAAGTGCTGGACTTCCACATGGTCGACTGTGGTTGGAGTCCCAGACCTGGTGACTTGAAACTCCCTCCGGGCCTGACTCGGTGTGTACCTATAATCCTGAAAGGAGAATGGAGAAGAAGGGATTAAGGCATGGCCATCCACCCGTGGGGGACAATTTCTCACTTACTCCCTCTGTGTCTTCAATAAGCATACATACCCTATGGTAAAAAAATATCTCTTAACAAACAAAACGAAAGATTTGACCTTGGCCTTCAATGACCCTTAGGGCAAGGAGGCATATTGCTGGGAGATGCAAAACGGGTTGGAGGTTTGGGGCGTCTGCATTCAGGACAGAGAAACCCACACCATAAGACCTATCTCTATTAACTAGTTTCAGGTGGGTGGTATCTATCTTGGGACCCAACAGAATCTGGGAAGACTGAGCTGGCCAGTTCTTCATGGAAGCCACCCCACTCTTCAGTTCTGAGACCTATTGGTGTAAAGCCACCAACTACTTGTTTGGACTCCGTCTGTTCTTGGCTCAGGAAATGACCCAGAACTTTCCTTCAGTACTCAGGTCTCTTTCATGTTGTATGAAAAGGAAGAGGTTGTGGGAGTTCTCAGGGGCTTTGATGTCGTCTGCCGCTGGGGTTGAGGGCTTTGCGTTAGGCTCTTGGTTACCTTAGGATGTGTTTCATGTCTAGCCCTCATTCAGCCAGGGACGAAAGACATCGTATTACAAGCTGTAACCTATGGGCATGGATGTTTCTTAAGGTGTGAAGGAATATTTATTACTTCAAGGAGGGGACATGAAAAGGGAGAAAAGAAAAAGACACTGTAAAAAGAGTGTGTGGCTGGTCTTTGCCTCAAAAGAGGAAAGGAAGAAGGGACAGCTGTGCTGTTTTGACCACTGCAAATCATAAAATCACACTAATTAAGCCAGTGGTGCAAACGGACATTCTATAAACACACAGCCAAGACACGAGGAAAAATTGGTCTGTGGACAAGAAAAAAATCTTGTTAAAATGGAAAACATGTTTTACTCACCTGCTCCCCACTTTTATAGGAGGTCCCTGCCATTCTAGGTTGTACCCTATTTTTACAATAAGAACAATTTTCCAGAAGGTTCATTGGCTGATAAAAAGCTAGAGAAATGCACACAGAACTTTATAATTCCAGCACCAGATTCTAATAAAGCACTGTGTAATACCAGGGGAAGTGGAGTTTATTCTCAACAGAAATTAAAAGTGATTTTTAGCTGTAGGAAATCAAATAAAACATAATTACTATATTGAATAGTCGGGGGGGGAAAAATACAAGGATATTCAAAAAGTTAATGGAAATTGAATATTATGAAAAAGCTATGCATGGATTTCAAAAATTCTTTGCACCAAAATAAATTTGTATTTTAACTCCACTTTCCACAAGCTTTTTGAAGTTCCCTCATAAGTGCTGGACCTTTAGCAGTAGCTATTAGTGTGACTGAACTTCATTCTGCAACCTCAAAGATGTTTTCTTTTCTGTTAAAGTATTTCCAGGGATGAAACTTCCATAGTTTTCTAGTGTTAGTGATTCTAACCCTCTAGGTCATAAACTACTGAATTTTCCTGTACCTTACAGTGCAGGATCCTTTCCAACCATCGACAGGGTATATGAGCTTGGGGCACCAGGAAAATGGCATAGTAATAAATTGGTCGGCAAGTTTTAATCTCAGGAGCAACAAACTCTGCAATAAGCTCACTTTCATGTCATAGTTCACATGCTTAGTGAAAAGTTTTGATAAAAGTGGGGAAAAGGAGAGGGAGATGAGGAAGTATAACTAGCTATGGCAGTTTGGAACTTGGAACAGTTCAGAATAACCTAGATTTTTTTTTTTTTTTTAGAGGTTTTTGCTATAGGGCGTGTGCGCTCGCCAGAAAGACAGAGAGATAGAAAGTGAGAAATCACCCCCCAGGGGGGATGGCCATGCCACAGTCCCTTCTCCTCCATTGTCTTCTTGGGATCCTGGGCACGCATGCACACACACCCAGTGTGAGTTTAAGCCACCAGGCCCAGGACTTGAACCATGGTCGACTACGTGGGAGTCCAGCGATATAGCCATTACGCTAACTGCTGGTCCCCAGAATAACCTAGCTTTTTAACTTGGATGTTAGTTTGGTAGGCATCTTGTCTGCTTCTCTCGTTTTGATGATAGGGAGGTACTGACTGGCCATTGGTGGTTTAATTATCTCCAGCAATAGTTATTTTGTAAGATCTTTTGGAGAAACTGAAAGGAAGACAGGGTGAAGATAAAAAGAAACAGGTAAGCAGTCTCAGAAAAAAATTAGGTGCTCAGCAGCTGAAAATATCTTTCCATCTCATCTTGACTTGGGGTGTAAACTTGAATTCCTTTCTCTGCATACTCTTTATTTTCCACCTTTGCAAAGGGGAAAGAAGTGCTTACTTTATAAGCACTGAGCAATCTGAGAGGAATGAAAGCAATATGGCACATGCCTTGATGGTCCACATATACTGGCTCATATATACTGGTCCATATATACTAGCTCATGTATATATATATATGGTTATGCCTAGGTGTGTTTCAATAGACCAGGAGTGGCCATGGCAATTTTCATTTTCTTGACCTCTGATGGCCTGGTCCCTGGGGAGAACCAGCAGCCAACAGTGACCATCTACCTGACCGATGTCAGTGGAAGCAACCACTCTCTTGGTGAGTCTGACAATGATCCCTTTAGGGCCACTAAAGGATACCCCAATGCACCTTGAAGTCAGCTTGTGACTGTCTCTGGTGTTATCTGGATCTTACCTACTACTACAGCTATTGAGAGTATAAAGTGAATACTTAAGGTATGGAAACATGGTGTTAGGTGAATGGTTTAAAATATTATTAATTTCTTTATTTCTCTCCAGGTACCTATGAACTGTCATGCCAGCATAACCCAATGGTTATCAATGTGACCCATCAAGCAAATGTCTTCTTTTACCACACCACCTCAGTGCTGCTGAATTTCTCATCCCCATTAGTGGGCATCTCAGCGGTGGCTCTCAGGACATCTTCCCACACTAGTCCGTCAGCTCCCAATGACTGCATCCCAAAGCATGAGGGACAGAATCATCAGAGACAGAGGTACAAAGGGCCCTTTCTTCTCCTCCTGCTCTTCCTCCTCTTTC